CTTATCAATGATCCTCATCTGCTATGAAAATATTCGTTTTCAGGGACATTCGTCAGATAAATGAACTCATTACTTGTAAAAAGCCGGTTTCTCATCAGCTACAACAACAAAGTAACTTCCTTGAATTCACTATGATCATATGTACTTGTAATAGGACTGAGTGGAGTCTGTAATCATACTAGTGATGAAAAAGTCGGACGACCGCGCAGCGGAAGTCCGATCTGTTTATCACGTGTACGGTTACACACTGAATTGGACAAAGTCTTCTTACCAATTAATCATAAAAATTACAAATTCCGAGAAAGAAAAACAGCCAGGTTACGAAAGAAAAGAAAGAAAATTTGCATTAAAAGACTAACAAAGGAGGCGTAAATTGTTTAATTGTTTGATTGGTTGATTCAAACTGCCACTTTGAATGTGATTAATGTATTGAACTGATCGATAACAACCTTATTGGATAACAAACTGTCTGATAACAACTTGGCAAGTGAATCAGTGGATAATGGAGTTTTTTTTAAACCATTTACAATCGAATAAATTGCAACTTTATGATTGATATATGGCAATAGGGTCGAGTGGAATCCAATTCGGTCTGTAGACATACGAGTGATTAAATATTTTTGAAAACAACAAATACATTTTCGACAGACATCTCCGGTAAGGACAACGTGAAAAAGGAAAAAATTACTCCATTTTTGAAATTCACCAGTTTTCTTTTTCCAGGATAAGTAGTTGTTGCTATGGTTATTGTGATTAATTGTGCGATTGGTGGATTTAGCTGAGCGGACTTAGTATGATACTTCTTCAATTGCAACTGTCCGATTACAGGTGTCCGATTACAGCCAACTGTCCGATTACACTGTCCGATTACAACTTTACAGAATGATTGGTGAAAAATAAAGCAGCTGATGCAAGGAAGATTTCGATTAAAAGATGAATATCTGCCTTCAATTAGGATTTCAAAAATGGCTGCATTTATTTCCCTTCTCATACGGCGCCACACCTCAACTTCAGCATAACGTATAAAAGAAGCGTTGAGTTCCAAATGGAAATTAAAATAATCTGCCGTCGCGGTTTCGGTTCGCAGACGACGCAAATCGTGGTGAATTCCGGTTGTTGTTTTGCATAGGATGGCTAAGAAATGTAAAAAGTTTTAAAACGCGCGTGCTGAGCTATTATTCCGCCAATTAGATCTTTTGCTTTTCCATGTCCTCGTTGCCGTCCCCGTCGTGGTTTGCTTAAGGTCCCTATTATTTTTGCCGTTTCACTTTCGAATTAATAGCCAAGAGGGGATACCCAAAACAGAAGTGATCTGGATACTCAAAACATCGGGATACCCTAAAAAACTGTGAAAGCGCAAGTTTCGGAATGTTTGGGAAACTTAGGTACTCGGGTTTTGTTATCTAAAAGTATTTAGTCACTCTAGAGAAGTAAGCTCTGTTAGGAAAGCCTTATGAATGCTTTTCCGATTTTTATGTTTGCATATCACGTTGTGAATAACCGTAATTGCAGAAACTGATTGTTTTCCCAATTACGTAATTAGGCAAATATATTTATTTCATTACTGATGTTATAGGATAATCGCGATGTAAGAGTTCGTAGTTTTCCAGTGGCCGTAATTTGCCTTAGTAATAAATTTGACCTCGTTCACTTTTTGTTAAAGCACCAAAGTCTTCCGTAAGAAGATAAGTCAGCCTATAACGCTGAGAGCTCACGAAGAAAGATATAGTGTATTTCTGGTGAGGAACAGAACGTTACTTGACTGATTTACTGTAATCTTGTCATAGTGTTATTGATCAGAACGCTTACTTTTACGATGGATGTGAGCTTCGAACCTCAAACATCAATTTGGTTCGACTACTTTGCTATACAATAAACCCAAACAACTTTGGTTAAAAATCTAGAGATTTTTCTGGTGCTATTTAACAAACTCATGGTGTATGCCTGCATAAAAGTGGGAAAAAGAGGATTACATAGAGAATTATGCATGGGCGCGCGTGGATATGGAATTTCTCTTCGAGTGTTTAACTACGTAGCTCACGAGTGAGCGCAGCGAATGGGTGAGATGTCGATTTGAACACGAGAAGAGAAATTTCATATCCACAAGCAACCATGTATTATTTTGTTTCTCATATAAACTCGATAAACCCTTTACTGACAAGAAAAATCAACTTTATTCATCAATGATATTTGATATTCTAAAAGATCAAAAACGTGTAGAATCGTATCGTGTGGTTCTTACATTAATCAAGATGTATTGAAAGTTGTTCATCTCTTCCGTGGAACAAAACACTTAAAAATCATGGTATAGGTTGGCCTCATTACTGAGGGAAGTTTAGGAATGTAGGAAAAATTGTAATCTGATTTTCATTGTTTTTGTCGTTTCACTTTCAAAAGTGTCAGCTGCGAGGTCAATTTTATCGGTCAATAATTTTATCAGTGTACTTTTTTTTTAGAGTAACTTTGTCTTAACTTTAGTTTTAACTTTACGGTCACATATGAAATAAGTAACTTCTCTATCGCAAATGCATAAATTATTTTTTTTTTAAGTCCTGTCCTGTCCTGTGACTATTAAGTCATGTTATGTTGTGCAAAAATCGCCACCGGATGAAATAAATTCGTCACAAAGCCGGAGTTCGTCAAACTTCTGTGACCCCACAGCTTGTTCATCACCCCTATCAGCTAAGGATAGATTCGTTTTCAGTGATATTCATCTGATAAGTAAGCTCGTTACTTGTTAATTGTTTGCTACAACAATAATTTCAAGTGTTCCATGCCATATAGCGGAAAGTCAGGAAATCTTCCAGACAGTTGCGGTTAAAGGTTCTGTCTCCTGTTAGCCTAAGAATTGAAACGCTTAAGATCAAGTCTCTGTAAGAATCACATCTTGGGAAATGAAAATTTTCAACCCCACTTCAAATTTTACATGCAGTTAGGCACTCAAGGGGGATGCACAAAAATGCCCTTTTTAAAGGCCGCAGCACTCTTGTTGCCATAGTAACAAAGACTGCTTGTTCGAGGCCTGGGGCCTGATTTTCATACAAAAACGTCGCAAGAAAAAAGTGAAATGTTTATTTCTCTATCTTAAGCTAAATAAAACATTAAAAATTGGCACTTCTACCATACATAGTAACATCATTTGTCTTCACATTGATTCATTCAATTTTCCGTGGGAGTGAATGTGAACACACCAATAGATTATTCATCTCGGTACAGTTTCGGTCATTTTTGTTGTCGGGTAAAACAGGGAAAACTTTCATCTGAATTTCTTCAAAAGTACACCGATTCTGGAACCGAAACTAACCACCTAGCTGGTTATAATATTCTTGTTTTTAAATATGTAAAAATCTCTACGGGTCTGACTCCACTTTTTATAGGGGCAATTCGCAAAAAAAGCTCAAAAATCAGATATTGCATAATTTGGCGATGTTTACACCTAATGTTCTCAACAACAAACGTTTCAGACAAATGAAACGTGCGAGGCTTTGAAAGAACGTTATCTTCTGAGCAATATCCCGAAGAGAAATCTCGCGTCTGTTTGTCATCTTTTAAAAAAATTGATCAACCTTCGTGGAGGACAACTCGACGTAACTACAAACATAAAGCTCAAATCGTGTACATATCATCCAGATTCCGAGTGCTGCACTTTCTTTCATGGGAATTTGAGCGATCCGAAATTCTCTGAAGATACACTGTTTTACTTGTATGTTATTTGAAACATGTTGAAGTCGGTTGATCTACACGAAACTATCCTCACACCGGTCAGTTGTCATAAACACCTTATCACGATGGCGTGACGCTGTATTTCTCCATGAAGTTTCCATCGGTCGCCCCAAAGAAGACGAGAAATGGACATTTTGGTCGTGACAACGTATATGTTCATGACAAATGACCGGTGTGAGGATAACCAGCTCGGTGGGTAGTTTCGGTTCTAGAATCGGTGTACTTTTGGAGAAATTCTTTGCTAGTTTCTTTGCAGAATACTGGTAGTACAACATCATTGATTCCCGAAGATTATCAAATGCTCTGATGAAGGGCTAACGTTCGAAACGTCACCTTCAGAAACTCATCACAATGGCCAATTTACATTGTCAACTCAGTTGGTAAAGCCAAATTATATTGTATATCCCACCAAAGTTTTTTTCGAAACTTACCCCGTTGATTAATGTTGTTTATAGAAACTATACAATGGGAAAGTTCTCACAGCAAAAGTTAAGATAAATGCTGTTTTGTTTATCTTTATCCTGTGACTTTAGAGTCATGTCATGTTGTGCAAAAATCACAACTTAAGTAAAATGAAGGGTGACAAACCGAGTTTGTCAAACCACTGTTACCTCAAATCCTGGCAATCATCCTTATCAGTTACGAATAGATTCGTTTTCAGCCATATACCTCAGATAAGTAAGCTCGTTAACCGGTGATAAACTGCTAGAACAACATTTTCAAATGTTCCCAGAACGTTGTAGTAAAAGGTATCAATCCTTCTTGTTTTTTTAAGAAACCTGCAACCTTTCAAAACCACCTAATTGATGGCGCGACCCCACGACTTACGATCGTTAATCAAACTCAAGCATGCGTCATTTTTTCTTTTACTTGATAAGAAGAATAAACGAAACAGCTGGATCAAAAATCATTTGGATAACAGATGACTTTCATAGCGTGACAGTCACACAGTCTGCTTCAAAGAATCTGTGCAGGTCAAATAAAATTTAAAAGTTTCACCGAATGTGATCCGTTGATGTGTTCCAGTTGTACTTATCCACACCCTTCTTCAATTTTGTTTTAAAGCCGATATAGTGAATTCTAACACTCTCAGCTCGTTACAAAAAGTTTCAAGGTGAAATCGACCAAGCTTGCTTTTGTAACTTAACATGTGTGTTCCGGTTTGTAGTGGCTCATTATGAATCCAGATTATCGAATAACTCATTCATTGCGTTACTGAAAGAAATGTTTCCCTGATTACAGGAGAGGATGGCAATGGAAACCTAATAGCAGAAGCCATGATAGCTTTCATGACCATCGCCTTCTATGTTTCCGTGTTCTTGCTCAACTCAAATCTCATTCAGAAAGCCATTGAGATTTGCAGGGAATGTTTGATTTTGCTAAATAGCACCGATCAAAACAGCAAAGACAACTTTATAGTTGTTTTCAGCAAGATGCTGTTTATCTTATACATAAAGTCTGGAATTATGCTTCACACACTTGGCGAAAACCTAAAGGCGAAGGAATATTTTGAGAGGGCCCTTGCTATAGCTACCGAAATTGGCGACAGAAGAGGAGAAGCATCATGTTATGGAAACCTAGGTACTGTGTTTTTGTCGCTCGGACAATACGCCAAGGCTAGAGAGTATCTCCAAAAGGCGCTTGTCATCAAAACTGAAATTGGCGACAGAAAAGGGGAAGCATCATGTTATGGAAACCTAGGTACTGTGTTTCAGTCGCTCGGGCAATACGACAAGGCTCAAGAGTATCTCCAAAAGGCGCTTGTCATCAGAACTGAAATTGGTGACAGAGAAGGAGAGGCAACTGACTACGGAAATCTTGGTAATTTGTTTGAGTCACTCGGGCAATACGACAAAGCTGAAGAGTATCTCCAAAGAGCGCTTGTCATCAAAACTGAAATTGGCGACAGAAATGGGAAAGCAACATGTTATGGAAACCTAGGTATTGTGTTTCAGTCGCTCGGACAATACACCAAGGCTAGAGAGTATCTCCAAAAGGCGCTTGTAATCAAAACTGAAATTGGTGACAGAGAAGGAGAGGCAAGTGACTACGGTAACCTTGGTACTGTGTTTATGTCGCTCGGACAATACGCCAAGGCTAGAGAGTATCTCCAAAAGGCACTTGTCATCAGAACTGAAATTGGTGACAGAAAAGGAGAGGCAACCGACTACGGTAGCCTTGGTACTGTGTTTATGTCACTCGGCCAATACGACAAGGCTCAAGAGTATCTCCAAAAGGCGCTTGTCATCAGAACTGAAATTGGTGACAGAAAAGGAGAGGCAACTGACTACGGAAATCTTGGTAATTTGTTTGAGTCGCTCGGGCAATACGACAAAGCTGAAGAGTATCTCCAAAGAGCGCTTGTCATCAAATCTGAAATTGGCGACAGAAATGGGAAAGCAACATGTTATGGAAACCTAGGTATTGTGTTTCAGTCGCTCGGACAATACACCAAGGCTAGAGAGTATCTCCAAAAGGCGCTTGTCATCAGAACTGAAATTGGCGACAGAGAAGGAGAGGCAAGTGACTACGGTAACCTTGGTACTGTGTTTATGTCGCTCGGACAATACGCCAAGGCTAGAGAGTATCTCCAAAAGGCGCTTGTCATCAGAACTGAAATTGGTGACAGAAAAGGAGAGGCAACTGACTACGGTAACCTTGGTACTTTGTTTATGTCGCTCGGCCAATACGACAAGGCTCAAGAGTATCTCCAAAAGGCGCTTGTCATCAGAACTGAAATTGGTGACAGAGAAGGAGAGGCAACTCACTACGGAAATCTTGGTAATTTGTTTGAGTTGCTCGGGCAATACGACAAAGCTGAAGAGTATCTCCAAAGAGCACTTGTCATCAAAACTGAAATTGGCGACAGAAATGGGAAAGCAACATGTTATGGAAACCTAGGTACTGTGTTTCAGTCCCTCGGACAATACACCAAGGCTAGAGAGTATCTCCGTAAGGCGCTTGTCATCAAAACCGAAATTGGCGACAGAAAAGGGGAAGCATCATGTTATGGAAACCTAGGTACTGTGTTTCAGTCGCTCGGGCAATACGACAAGGCTCAAGAGTATCTCCAAAAGGCACTTGTCATCAGAACTGAAATTGGTGACAGAGAAGGAGAGGCAACTGACTACGGAAATCTTGGTAATTTGTTTGAGTCACTCGGGCAATACGACAAAGCTGAAGAGTATCTCCAAAGAGCGCTTGTCATCAAAACTGAAATTGGCGACAGAAATGGGAAAGCAACATGTTATGGAAACCTGGGTATTGTGTTTCAGTCGCTCGGACAATACGCCAAGGCTAGAGAGTATCTCCAAAAGGCACTTGTCATCAGAACTGAAATTGGTGACAGAGAAGGAGAGGCAAGTGACTACGGTAACCTTGGTACTGTGTTTATGTCGCTCGGACAATACGCCAAGGCTAGAGAGTATCTCCAAAAGGCGCTTGTCATCAGAACTGAAATTGGTGACAGAAAAGGAGAGGCAACTGACTACGGTAACCTTGGTACGGTGTTTATGTCACTCGGCCAATACGACAAGGCTCAAGAGTATCTCCAAAAGGCGCTTGTCATCAGAACTGAAATTGGTGACAGAGAAGGAGAGGCAACTGACTACGGAAATCTTAGTAATTTGTTTGAGTCGCTCGGGCAATACAACAAAGCTGAAGAGTATCTCCAAAGAGCGCTTGTCATCAAAACTGAAATTGGCGACAGAAATGGGAAAGCAACATGTTATGGAAACCTAGGTACTGTGTTTCAGTCGCTCGGACAATACGCCAAGGCTAGAGAGTATCTCCAAAAGGCGCTTGTCATCAGAACTGAAATTGGCGACAGAGAAGGAGAGGCAAATGACTACGGTAACCTAGGTACTGTGTTTATCTCGCTCGGACAATACGCCAAGGCTAGAGAGTATCTCCAAAAGGCGCTTGTCATCAGAACTGAAATTGGTGACAGAGAAGGAGAGGCAACTGACTACGGTAACCTTGGTACTGTGTTTATGTCGCTCGGCCAATACGACAAGGCTCAAGAGTATCTCCAAAAGGCGCTTGTCATCAGAACTGAAATTGGTGACAGAGAAGGAGAGGCAACTGACTACGGAAATCTTGGTAATTTGTTTGAGTCGCTCGGGCAATACGACAAAGCTGAAGAGTATCTCCAAAGAGCGCTTGTCATCAAAACTGAAATTAGCGACAGAAATGGGAAAGCAACATGTTATGGAAACCTAGGTACTGTGTTTCAGTCGCTCGGACAATACGCCAAGGCTAGAGAGTATCTCCAAAAGGCGCTTGTCATCAGAACTGAAATTGGTGACAGAAAAGGAGAGGCAACTGACTACGGTAACCTTGGTACTGTGTTTATGTCACTCGGCCAATACGACAAGGCTCAAGAGTATCTCCAAAAGGCGCTTGTCATCAGAACTGAAATTGGTGACAGAGAAGGAGAGGCAACTGACTACGGAAATCTTGGTAATTTGTTTGAGTCACTCGGGCAATACGACAAAGCTGAAGAGTATCTCCAAAGAGCGCTTGTCATCAAAACTGAAATTGGCGACAGAAATGGGAAAGCAACATGTTATGGAAACCTAGGTATTGTGTTTCAGTCGCTCGGACAATACGCCAAGGCTAGAGAGTATCTCCAAAAGGCGCTTGTCATCAGAACTGAAATTGGCGACAGAGAAGGAGAGGCAACTGACTACGGTAACCTTGGTACTGTGTTTATGTCGCTCGGACAATACGCCAAGGCTAGAGAGTATCTCCAAAAGGCGCTTGTCATCAGAACTGAAATTGGTGACAGAAAAGGAGAGGCAACAGACTACGGTAACCTTGGTACTGTGTTTATGTCACTCGGCCAATACGACAAGGCTCAAGAGTATCTCCAAAAGGCGCTTGTCATCGGAACTGAAATTGGTGACAGAGAAGGAGAGGCAACTGACTACGGAAATCTTAGTAATTTGTTTGAGTCGCTCGGGCAATACGACAAAGCTGAAGAGTATCTCCAAAGAGCGCTTGTCATCAGAACTGAAATTGGCGACAGAAATGGGAAAGCAACATGTTATGGAAACCTAGGTACTGTGTTTAAGTCGCTCGGACAATACGCCAAGGCTAGAGAGTATCTCCAAAAGGCGCTTGTCATCAGAACTGAAATTGGTGACAGAGAAGGAGAGGCAACTGACTACGGAAATCTTGGTAATTTGTTTGAGTCGCTCGGGCAATACAATAAAGCTGAAGAGTATCTCCAAAGAGCGCTTGTCATCAGAACTGAAATTGGCGACATAAAAGGGAAAGCATCATGTTATGGAAACCTAGGTACTGTGTTTCAGTCGCTCGGACAATACACCAAGGCTAGAGAGTATCTCCAAAAGGCGCTTGTCATCAGAACTGAAATTGGTGACAGAGAAGGAGAGGCAAGTGACTACGGAAATCTTGGTAATTTGTTTCAGTCGCTCGGGCAATACAATAAAGCTGAAGAGTATCTCCAAAGAGCGCTTGTCATCAAAACTGAAACTGGCGACAGAAATGGGAAAGCATCATGTTATGGAAGCCTAGGTACTGTGTTTCAGTCGCTCGGACAATACGCCAAGGCTAGAGAGTATCTCCAAAAGGCGCTTGTCATCAGAACTGAAATTGGTGACAGAAAAGGAGAGGCAACTGACTACAGTAACCTTGGTATTGTGTTTATGTCGCTCGGCCAATACGACAAGGCTCAAGAGTATCTCCAAAAGGCGCTTGTCATCAGAACTGAAATTGGTGACAGAAAAGGAGAGGCAACTGACTACGGAAATCTTGGTTATTTGTTTGAGTCGCTCGGGCAATACGACAAAGCTGAAGAGTATCTCCAAAGAGCGCTTGTCATCAGAACTGAAATTGGCGACAGAAAAGGGAAAGCATCATGTTATGGAAACCTAGGTACTGTGTTTCAGTCGCTCGGACAATACACCAAGGCTAGAGAGTATCTCCAAAAGGCGCTTGTCATCAGAACTGAAATTGGTGACAGAGAAGGAGAGGCAAGTGACTACGGAAATCTTGGTAATTTGTTTCAGTCGCTCGGGCAATACGACAAAGCTGAAGAGTATCTCCAAAGAGCGCTTGTCATCAAAACTGAAATTGGCGACAGAAATGGGAAAGCATCATGTTATGGAAGCCTAGGTACTGTGTCTCAGTCGCTTGGACAATACGCCAAGGCTAGAGAGTATTTCCAAAAGGCGCTTGTCATCAGAACTGAAATTGGTGACAGAAAAGGAGAGGCAACTGACTACAGTAACCTTGGTACTGTGTTTATGTCGCTCGGCCAATACGACAAGGGTAAAGAGTATCTCCAAAAGGCGCTTGTCATCAAAACTGAAATTGGCGACAGAAAAGGGAAAGCAACATGCTATGGAAACCTAAGTGCTGTGTTTCACTTCCTCGGAGAATACGCCAAGGCTAGAGAGTATCTCCAAAAGGCGCTTGTCATCAGAACTGAAATTGGCGACAGAAAAGGGAAAGCATCATGTTATGGAAACCTAGGTAATGTGTTTCAGTCGCTCGGGCAATACGACAAGGCTAAAGAGTATCTCCAAAAAGCACTCGTCATCAGAACTGAAATTGGTGATAAAGAAGGGAAAGTAAAAGATCTTGCAAACTTTGGATGTGTGTGTGGAGCTATAGGAGATTATGAAGCCTCAGAAGTATGCTTAGAGAAAGCTTTATCGATGTCCAGAGATATTGGAGATAGAAGAGGAGAGTTCGAAATCCTTCGACATTACGCCATTTTGTATTTGTCGCAAGATAAAAAAGAAGAATCCCGTTCGTGTCTTTATCTCTGCATTGAAAAGTATGAGGAGCTGAGATATTTCTTAGGCGCCAATGATCAGTTCAAAACATCATTTCTGGAGCACTCAGGAATATTTCCCTACAAGCTGCTTTGTAGTTTGCTTTGTGACACCGGAAATGCTCGGGATGCTCTTTATGTTGAGGAGTTGGGTCGAGCTAGAGGCCTATCAGACTTAATGGTAGAGAAGTACTCGGTTGGAACGCACATCTCTGCTAATCCGCAATCTTGGTTTGGCGTTGAGAACATTTTAAGAAAGAAAAATAACTGTACTTGTCTGTACATTTCTTATTTTCACAGTGATCTGCGTTTGTGGATCTTAAAGACAAGTGGAGTCCTTCACTATAGAATAATATCAGTAGAAGAGAATCTAGTTCAGGCTGGGTTGCCCAAAGATTTGCCTTTGAGTCAATTTTTGGATGGTAATTTCCGGAGTCTTGGTATTTTGCCCACTAAAGATTGTGAAGATCGGTCTTTAAATATGGTTAAATTGCAACCTCTCTCCCCCGCACAGAAGAGCTCAGCAAGATTGCGACTCGTCGAGGAGGACGAGGACGAGGATGAGGACGAGAAAGTGATTTCAGCTCTATTTTTGTGTTACAAAATGTTTATTGCTCCCGTTTATGATTTGCTTGAGGAGCCTGAAGTCATTATCGTTCCTGAACGCAGTTTGTACAAAGTTCCCTTTGCTGCACTGAGTGAAAAGGAGGGAGCCCAATACCTCTCGGAGACTCATAGAATCCGTGTCATTCCTTCTTTGACAACACTCAAGATTATTCAAGATAGCCCAGAGGACTATCACAGCAACACTGGTGCCTTGATAATAGGCAACCCTAAGGTTAATTGGCTGCCACCATTGCCAAGTGCAAGAAAGGAAGCGGAGATGGTCGGACGACTGGTGGGTGTTCTGCCTCTGGTAGGAGAAGAAGCAACGAAGCAGGCGGTGCTTGAGCGGATAAGTTCAGTGAGCCTGATTCATTTTGCTGCCCATGGTGACGCCGAAAGGGGAGAAATTGCCCTCTCCCCCATCCCTAGTACTTCCAACAGGCGAAACGCTATCTTACCACATGAAGATTACATGTTGACGATGGCTGATGTATCACGAGTGAAAGTCAGAGCTAAACTGGTGGTACTTAGCTGCTGTCACAGTGGAAGAGGTCACATTAGAGCCGAGGGAGTCATAGGAATTGCCCGTGCGTTCTTAGGATCCGGTGCTCGCTCGGTGTTGGTTGCGCTGTGGGCCATTTCAGACTCAGGAACAGAGCAGCTGATGAGTCGGTTCTACGAACACCTTGTAGAGGGAGAAAGTGCCAGTGAATCCCTCCATCAGGCCATGAAGTGGATGAGAAAAAGCAAGTCTACCAGTGTGTCTGAGTGGGCTTCGTTTACGCTGATTGGAGATGATGTGAGACTCGGGTTTGACAAGCAGAGGTAAGACTCAGTCCGAAAAGATATTTCACAAATTAAAGTCTAAGTAGATGTGAAGGTAGCTGTGATTTACTGGTCGGTGACTGTGGGCGGGGGTCCTTTGTTACCATCAAGGGTAGTTCGGTATATATCCATATACATATATTTTTTTTCTTTTCTTTTCGGAGAGTTACTATCGACGCTCTCTGGTGTAAATATAGAATCTCGAAAGGGCCTCTCTGCCAATCACATACAAGTGCTAGCCATTTATATTTTTAGATATTAAGCTTGGTATAATTGTATTTGCTTCATATCCAAAATATTAATCGAGTTAATAATAAATTGCTGTTTTTTTTTCACTTTTTTTACAGAGAATGAGACCCCGACAGAGTAAATAATGAGAATCACTCGAAGGAAACAGAGCCAAAAGACTTTTAGATGCATAAATTGAATAGAGCAAAGTAGAGAACATACTTTATCCGGTATTTCATTGAAATTAAAAAAGGAGCTATCCCAAATTAGATTTTTTTTCTTTCTTTTTCAATATTGTTAAAAGATAAAATTTGTATCTATCCAGTGTTTTTTTTTACTTATTTAAACGTTGGAAATGAATGGAAATAGTATATTAGCATAAGCCATTCAGTAAAAATTATAATAAGCCAGTTGATCATTTCTTATTCCTTTTGGCGGTCTTATCTTACAGGTATAATTTAGCACGCTCGACACCTCTTTTTCTTAGAGGTGACTTAAGGTGTAAACAAGTAGTACTTTTCATCCTCCGCACTGAATTTATAATCAGGTAATTTATACGAATAGCACGTAGCTCTTTTAGGGGGGGTACCTTGGGTACGCCCTTTCTTGTCCGAATTTTCTGTTTATTGTGCTGTTATGCAACAGTCTTCGAGGAGTATTTCCTCTTAAGATATATTTTCAAGTATGATTCTAATTCTGTTGGTAATTTCATTACAATTTTTATATTATCAATCTTGTTTTAGTTATGACCAACATTGACTGTAAGACTAAGAAATTTAAGGAAGAAAATGATTTTGTAAAGCGTAAACATCTCGAAGGTATCTACTTAGTATGCGAACTCCACTCTGCGTAGCTTAACGTGATTCGCTAGTTAAGTGTAAAAAGATGACGAAGGTTAAAGATTGGCAGCTCAGTAAGCGTCCCTTTTATAAGCGGAGAACCACACTTTCCTTGTTAGATCTGAGTTAGTCCCGAGGTAATAAGTTGTATGTAAGAAAGAGAAGAATAAAGAAACCTTCAACTGAACAACGCAAAAATTATATTTCCAATATCATAGGCACAGAAAAACGTTGACGTAAGTAAGGCTTTAAAGTAAAGCGAAATCAGTAAAGTTAAAAGAGGGTCTGAATGGGGTTAACCGACTAGCGACAAAGGGCGTAAAAAATTACTGACTACCGACCAAACGGGGAAAAAATTACCGACTAGCGACAAATAAATTCTAACCGACAACCGACATGGTCAGACGTGATAGGGATGTTTGTATTCAGAAAGAACAGCATTTTGATGATTTCTAGCTCAGAAAATCCTTCTTCACCCGACGTAACCACATTAATTCCAAATTTAGCCGAATTATAGAATTTCTTGTCTTCAAATTACTTTAAATTCACGGGATCCTTCTTTTCGGGCTGACAAGACGCCCTGCTGTCTCATTTCAAGAACAGCGGATCACAATCGAGCCGACGAGACGCCCTGCTGTTGTCTTTTTATTGCTCGATGTTTGTTCATGCGGTCGGGTCATGACTGGGATTGCTTAAGTCATCGTGAGTTTTTTTCGAAAAGGTGAAGAAGTCGCCATCGAACGTCATCGAAGCAGGGTCCCAGTAGACAAAGAAGCTCATAGAGGAGTATCTGAACTAAAAAGACATCTTACGGAGTTTTTAGGACTAAAGGAGCAGGCACATCAATATGGAATTGGCGGATTTTCGTAAAAGTTATTTCGCTTGGCGAAATCGCCTGCGGGCAAATGCGAAAATTTTGCAGTTGTGACGGATGGGCAATGACAGCTTGAACTTCCAAATTTAATATCGGATGAAAGTAGCAGTGAGCTCAACGGTAAGTGTGGAACGCGTGCAGCGGAGTTTGATGAATCACTTTAGTTCTGTAGTTAATATTAAGCTCAAATATTAACGTGGTTAAACTCTGGTTCCACCGTTTTTTGTTTGTTGTTTTGTGGAGCGGAATGTTTTTTTTTTCTTTTTCACCGTCCATTTGAATGCGAAAATTGAGAAGAAAAATCTCTACAAAGAAGTAGCGAGTAAATCAGTTTATAAGCTTCTTTCTGATTAATTGGTGAATGAACAACAGTGTAGCTTAACATATTAAAGACCCCGTTTATTTATACACGCCCTTAAATTTATTCGTTTCTGAAAACCAGACGTTCAAATAATATTCAATTCTCTCCTCGAGGGAAGCTACGCACGAGAGATTTCGCTCGATGTGCACGTTTTATACATCTTGACGAGCATTTGCTGATAAGAACTGTGTAACTTTCTCAAAAGCCTACTAAAGAGAAAACTTAAAACACACGGTATTTAATATTTTAGTACACATTATCCAAGAGGTCACAAACTGGACCGGAAAGCCAGTAGTGTTGCTGAAGGCGCCGGCTACATCTGATAAAAGCAAGCAGAAGTCAATGAACGACACTGAGAAGAAAGGTGACGAGTCAAAAGTGAGAAGGAAACGGAAATCACGAGAAGAAGCAAAAGAAGATGAAAATCTGGCAAAGAGGATCATGACTGAAGGAGGTGACATCGAGAGAAACGAAAGGCAACAAGGAGAACTTCAAAAGTTCCAGGATGGTAGGGCTGAATTAGCACTTGTAGTTCGTTTACCTGATTTTCAAAAGTCATAAATTTCGCTACTTTGGAAATTCTGCGGTATTCCTTGTTTATAAACACTGCCTTGTTTATACAACGAAAAACGCTCACTTGGTGCGTTCGCTATGTAAAGATAGTTTTTTTAAATTCCGGCTAAAAACTGTATTATTATCACTTTGATGGGCATTGTGGCGCATTTTGCGTGCTAAAATAACGAATTTGAACAATTGGAACAATTTGCAAGGAATCTCTGAAGCGCACATCTAGATGGGCAGCAAAGTACTTCACGCATGACAAATCCTACTATCCGGTACCTCAATCCGCCATGCCCCTTTCTGCTATAGCTACGATGACACCTTTGCCAAGTGAGGACATAACACCAGGGATGGAAGGACAGATCAAAGAGTGGCTCTAGAGGTACAGACCAGTACGCCAACGGACGGTTAGGAGTGAGACCACAAAAGATAAGGCTGGGGCCTTGCCGCCAGCTGTCTACGCCGTTCACCACACCGACGAGTCTGAAGAGAGGCTTCGATATCCTGAAGAAAACACTGTATCGTCAGCAAATGCACAACGCGTTGTCAGCATACAATTTGTGGACGAAGGGGATGTTACTGAGGTGTTTGAGGATCACAGAGAAGTACAAATCGATGAGTATGAGACAGATTCGGATGACGAGGAATCAGATTTTGAAGAACATCCAGAGGTTGTCAACAGAACGTGTGTTACCCGATCCGGCAGGGCTGTTCGTGCATTTGTGCGTCTCGACATGTAAGAGGTACTAACAGTTAAAAAATCCATTTAACGGTGCAGATTGATACGTATGACAACCAAATTTTTGGCAAAAAAAAAGAGAAAAAAAAGAAACCTCGCAGAAAAGCCACGAGAGCCGTTGAATAATAAGTGTAGTGAGTTTTTGTAGACGTCTCGGAAAAAAGACTTCCGTAGCTTACAAATTAAAATTAGGTATCCCAGGGGCTAGAGTGGGTGTTTCATTCTTTGTAGAATTTACCTCTCTTGATTTACTTCGATGCCCCGCAGTCGACAGGAAACAAATTCACATCTATATAAAGCTTTGCTGAATTTTATCGGTACACTAGATTTGCAAACAAAAGTGGGGTAGATGAGCACGTTGCTAAATTAAAAAACAGCGTTAACGAGGTTTAAGTGAAAACAAATAATGAATTACTACAAGTATTACACTTCGTCTATAGTTTAAAGTCATAAAACTGGGCAAATTGCATAATAAATGTGAATAATTAACGTGTATTTTTAATTATTAACTGAGATTTACCGACAACCGACAAAGGTCAAAAATCTTAACCGACAACCGACAAAGTAATGAAATTTTAACCGACAACCGACATTTTGACCCCCCCATTCAGACCCTCTTAAAAGAGTAGTTTAGATATAAAACGAACCACTAGAATCTGGTTAAATTTTTTTTCAAAGCCTTTTGTAAGGTTTAGTTAACAAATCTTCAATATTTGAGGAATAAATTTGATGTAGCATCTTAAAAGATCCTTGTCAACCACTCCTCTTTCAAAATATATCCTGATCAAAACTAATCTATGAAGACAGAAGTTTAAAATCGCTTCCGGATGGCAGGAATGTCATGCAGGCTCGTCAATACTTCAAGTTTCAACTGATCACTTGCCTCTTGTGATATGTGAAACAAGACTTTTCACTTTTCGAATCATCTCTCAAAGATCCAAATAAACTAAATCGAATTTTTTTACGCATTTATGGAATTCATAAAAAAAAATTAAAAAAAAAAATTTTTAAAAAAGAAAGTAGGTAGTTACGCCCTGGCGCGCGCAATTACGGACTTTCATTTTTAGGGCTTGTTTACATGTAGGTGGGGGACCCTGTTGAAGTCCTAAATGTAATAACTGTCCTAAATGTAATAAAGTCCTAAATGTAATAACATTTGGTCCTAAATGTAATAAAGTCCTAAATGTAATAACATTTAGTCCTAAATGTAATAACATTTAGTCCTAAATGTAATAAGGCTCCAATGAAATCGTTTGACTCCTGCAGTGCATTGTTGTTATGGCGGACATCCACAATGATATGTTAGTTACAGCTGTTGCACCAAAAAAACCGCTGACCAGTATACATGCCACATTATGGGCTCACTGGTATCAATCAGCGTCTTTTTACTTGCTAGACATAAGAAATATCAGCAGTCGAAGTATGGTCCTTAAAGCGGTTTATCGATCGAGTTGAAGAAAATCATTTCCAGCCCAAAGTGGGCTAGTGCTTGGCTGGAAGCTTAATAGGATGGAATCGATTGGTACGTAACCATTAAGACTGTTTGGAAAAGAAATTGACTACAATTGATGATGAACTAGCATGCTATTGTTGATGTTATCTTTCGTGTTAAAGTCTTTAGTAGTGATGCACCATTTTAGAGCAGTTTGAATGATTTCGCTGTGTCACATGTTAATCCAAAAGAAAATTATTATTATTAGTAGCGTTATTGAAATTTTGCACATCAATGTTATTCAGTGTCGATTGATTCTGATGAAGCATTTGAGTTCATTTTTAAGAATGACTATCCTGATTTATTCAATTTTGAACTTGGGGTATTGCATTTCCAGCCTTCTATGGCTTTACTCCACCTCAGTAATCAGTTCATGTACCATATGACTATAAGTGGAAACTGTTGAGCTTTCTTTTTTCATTCATCTATTTAGCTATTCATTTTCTCCCCTCACGGCGGGGAGAAGAGGTGAAGACAAAAAATGAAATATAAACTTGAGATCAACTGTAAAATATACGTTTTCCTAAACTGATGAACCCGTCATAAGGGGCTAAAGGAAAAAAATGAATGGTTCATTAGACCGTCAACTGACCATCATGTGTTGATTGGTGTAGCTCAATGGTTCAATTTGACTCTTGCGTGGAAAAAAGGTAACATGTCAAGATCTGTGATCGTGAAATGGGATAGCATATGATTGGTCAGTCGATATCTTGCTCACTAGTCACTTTATCAAATAGCTAGCAGCGCACGTGGGCAAGATGAAGTGAATCCTGTGTTCTGATTGGCTACCTGAGCGGGCATGATGGGCCCACCCTCACCCGCTCGGGATACCCCGTATTGATCCCACGCAAGAAAACTTACAAAGTTCGTAACTTTTGGACAATATTTGCATATACATAGAAAAAAATAAACGACCCTCTTGGGTTTATTGTACTGCAAACACAGTTGGCTTTCACTATCGGCTCTCGAAATAAACAGGCCATTCTTGATTCTTATCAAAGCGAAATCTTTTGCTATACAATGAATCCTTTAATGATTAAGCCAAGAGAATATAAACTCTCTTGACCATGCTGGTATTTTCAAGATTACTGGATATTAGCCTCGTTCTTTTTCTACTTTTTTATGGACCGTGACCTCGTCTCCGTCCATAAAAACGCAAAAAAAAAGAAAACTCAGCCAATATAAAGCCATTTTGACCTCACGCTCGGTCAATAACGCCTATGAATATATTTTATGCAGACCCGTACAAATCTGGTAAGGGAAGACTGTACAAAGAATGCCCCTCTGAGCCCAGAATATGTCTAACGTATAAGTCGGTGGACTTCTTTTTCCTTGTAATTCGGTTCATCAAGTGTTAACTTCAGCACTGAAGACAGAAGTATTTCGTCAAAATCTGTTACACTGAAGAGTCTGAGCCAATGATATAGAGAGGGCTATTAGTCAACGTTCTCGTTGCTTTTGCATCCGTCAATTTGATGCCAAAAGCACATCAGTATCAGTATAAGGTTTTGTAGCCAATGCTTCTTAACCTACCTCTTTAACAAATAAAAAGACGTTGATTAATATCAGTGAGCCTGCAATATTCCATAAATATTGGACAGAGGATTCTTTAGCGCAACAGCTGTCACTTTAACATTTCAATGTTAGCGCAGTTAAACGATTGCATAGGAGGCTTATTACATTTAGGACCGAACGTTATTACATTTAGGACTTTATTACATTTAGGACCAAATGTTATTACATTTAGGACTTTATTACATTTAGGACAATTATTACATTTAGGACAGTTATTACATTTAGGACTTCAACAGACCCCAAGTAGGTGAAGTAATCCGCCTGTCCATATAATTTCTTATTTTATTTCAATCACGTTTACATGATAGGTGGGTTGACCCACCTAGGCGGGTTTCCCGGTCTGCCAGGTAGGGTAACCCTGTCAGCCGGGGTGACAATTTGCCATGTAAACGTCTCAAGGTGGGGCAACCCCCCTAGCCGAGGTCGCGTTCATGGCAAAAAGCTCAAAAGTGAAACACGTGTTTTAAAAACTTTGTACATTTCCTAACCGTCTCATGGTAGAAATCACCAGAAACCGCAACGGACACTCAAGGAGTGTAAAGTGTTCACATTTCGGAATATTTAGCGTTGTAAATCGACCATATTTCAAACTATTCTTTATAACATATTAAGTCAATGGTTCCTCGCGTAACCTAACACCGCGTGACACAAAGCGTGACGCCTTTATGAATAAATACACACGTGTCCGAAAATTAATCTTTCGTCTTTCTTTTTTTTCGCTCAACCTCCCTAATTGAAAGCGCAACAAAAACCTAAAGAAACCTTACCCCAGCACCCCAGGGTTGTAAGATTGTATGTTAACGCGTTTTACTTTTCGACCAAGGCTAGGCGGGTTACCTCACCCCTTATTAGTGATCAAATGATTTAAATGTGACTGACGTTATATGTTTAAAACTTTTAAACGGCGTTTCTTTCCCTACAAACCATCATCAACAGCCAGTAGTCTCGTATCCTTTTTAGCGGCCTCACCAACAATTCCTTTTTTTCCACTTCAAGAACGAAATCAAAACTTAAACCACAATTTTTTTGGACACGATTTATCATCGACACCACACACGTTCTCTTAGGGTGGACGCAACTTGGTAATGGCGCTACATCCTTTGATGTTTTATTTTCATGATTACTTTCGGTCGACTGTTTTATTCGAAATAATTTCACATACGCTTTAATTTTTCAGTACATCAAAACGCAAAATTAAGTTGACTTGGACGTAAATTTACATACGACTGTTGAATTCAAGAACATGTTAAGTTCATGCACGAGCTAACTCCTAAATGACAGTGTAAAATACCGAAAAATCAACGCCGCAAAGAATTATTTGCACTTAAAACTTTAAGTGTTATTGAGATTTTCATTCAACCGGAAAATTACGTTATTTATAAATGCCCCTTCTTCTTTTTGTATTGATGTAGGAACTTACAACTTTTCTTTGATTAGCAAAAATCGGTCAGTGGAATGTAAATACGTTTTTATGAGTATAAGATTATGTTTGATTAAAAAATCTAATGCACTTGGCTTGATTACATCTAAAATTATAAAAAGAAGGCTGCACAAGATTATCTTAAAGTACAAACTAGTTTATTGCTTGCCTCATCAATTATCTCTTCTGAGTAAATTGTAAAAAAAATTTGGGTTATTTTTATTGATAGTCATCCTGAGTGCAAAATCGTGCGTTTTCCTTATAAACTCCTCAGGGCAAATAGTCTCACCAGCTGTCAAAACATCAATACTGTCACAAAACCTTTGTTAATTAGATGACATGGATGATTGAGTTTAAAAATATATTACCACGAGTTTTATCCTGTTTCTTTGAAGACTCTAAACATTTAAAAGCATATTTATCGGCCGGTAGTATTGCAACTTGGATCTCGACAAAAGGATCGAAAGAAAATTCCATTTAAGCCATCGATCAATTCAGGATCTTTACACTGGAGTGATGTTGTTTCATTTGATGATCTTTTATTTCGTTTCCTTCTCGACCTCAGGGTATTATTAACTTTTACACCACTGAATGAATTTAAGTTTACCTTCGATTTTTGGCCGCCGATACACACATCCTATTCAAGAAATCTTTAGAACCGAAAAATACTTTTTATTTTCAAGAATTTTCACTTTGTCGATTAGTTGATTTGGTGATTTATACTTAAAAAAAGTATCATTTTTAGCGGTAGTGAAAAACGCTTGACAATAGTCAAAACAATGGTTCGTATTGGAAAAACCAGGACCAAAAATTTTTAACAAGATTGTTTGTTTCTGATCTCCGACAGCAGGGGAGTGGATCAGCGACGCTTCAGAGTGTTGGACGTGGATGCAAAAGGCAATCTATATCTTTACAAGACGGCGTTGCTCTGCAAGAACGAAATTATCAAACGATTGAGAAATGGGACGTACAGTTTGGCAGAGCAAACGGAACTAGGTATGATATTTCTCTTTTATTTTTTAAGACATCGATATAAACTTATCAAGAAAAGCGAGGTTGACTTAAATACTAGTGTACTTTTCACCTCATGCCCTTGCATTTCACGTTTTATGCCATTTAATGTCATCCTTTCACGATTGGGAATTTCAAAATGTGTCTGTACTTTTGTTGCGTACTTTCCCCGAAAAATGAAACCCTTGTCTTGAGTGCACCTTTAACCAGGTCGAAGTTTCTTGGATTACTTTTTCATATTCCTCTTCTTCCTTTTAAAAACCAAATATTTTTGTATAACTGAGTCTTGAATTGCAAGAGACCCAGCACCAATCTGTGATCCAACAAAATAATTGAGCTGGAGTTATACTTCTGAGAAAAATAGCGGATTAGATACCCTTAATTTTATTCTTTCGCCCGAGATTTACCAGCGTTCAGTTATATAAATACAATCCAAAAATCATTTATGAGCAAATTTGATAGGAATGCCCTCTGGCTACATTTCTATCTTGTTTTTATAGACTTCATAGGATTCTCCAAATAGGATTGTCCAAAGACTTAGCAGTGCTGAACTGTAAGGTGCTCAAAGAGAAGTCCCCTAACGCCGTGTCAGGCGTCTATTGGATAGATCCTGATGGCGGTTCCCGTAGTAACGCTTTCCAGGTCTACTGCGACCAGCAAACAGACGGAGGGGGCTGGACGCTAAAGATTGGTTCTTGGGATATCAATGCCTGACGTTTTGAGAGCTCTAAATGTCTAGAAAAAGGTTGTAAACTTCACGCTCTCTAGCTGAGCATCTACCCGTGTTTTCAATTTGAACTCATAACGAGACAACCCTCGTAATGTGTTAATATTCTGTCCTAAATCACTCTCAAATAAAAATTTGGTCTTAACCTCTCTTCACCACTCCCCCTCTTCCAGCAAGAATTTATGGCCCTCCCAAAAATGCATAAGGATCGTGAAGCTAACTCTACACCGCCATTTCGCCCCATCGTATCTTCTATAGGAACATACAATTACAACCTGGCTAAGTACCTATGTCATCTTTTAACACCTCACATTCCAGCTGATTACTGTGCCACTGACACTTTTACTTTTGTACAGGACATCCAATCGTTATCTATATCTCGTAAGTTTATGGTCTCTTTTGATGTTGAAAGTCTCTTTACTAACATACCTCTTGAGGAGTGTATTGACTTAGCGGTCAATTACATTTCCGAGGGTAATCCCGACATTAAGTTAAAAAAATCTGAACTTAGAAGTCTCTTCACTACAGCTACCGCCCAGACTCATTTCATATTTAACGGTTCTTTTTATGATCAAATAAATGGCGTAGCCATGGGGTCTCCCCTTGCTCCTGTCTTAGCCAATCTTTTATCGGGACATCAGAGAAAACTTTAGTTGGAAAATTTTCATGGCTCTACAATTTTATTTTATCGCCAGTATGTTGATGATACTTTTTGCTTATTTAACTCAGATCGAGATGCCACTATATTTTTCGACTATATCAACTCTAGGCACCCTAACATCAAGTTCACTATGGAAAAGCAGGTTAATTAAATTACAAATTACCCTTTTTAGATGTCCTGATTGACAACCATGACCCCAATTCCCCTCTAACCAGGATTTACCACAAGAAAACTTTCACTGGGTTACTAACTAATTATTTCAGCTTCACCTCGTACTCTTACAAAGTGGGTCTCATTAAGACACTCGTTGATAGGGCTTACAAGATTAATAACACCTGGTTAGGGTTTCACGAGGACATTCTAAAAAAGAATCTTTTCCCTGCTCATTTAATCGAGAAGATTATAAACCGTTACATCACTGGGACCCAAAACAATCATCATCCCCGGGATTCCCTTCCTACCACTTCACCTACGTTCTACTTTAAGCTACCCTACATAGGCCACTTCTCTGCTATCACTCAAAAAAGATCTGCCATTTTATCAAGCGCTATTGCAATGACTTGGATATCAAACTGGTTTTCTCTTCCTTCAAAATCGGTAACTTGTTTGGTGTGAAAGACCCTGTCCCTGACGGACTCCGTTCACGTGTAGTTTATAAGTTTGTATGCGCTGGCTGTAATGCCTGTTACGTCGGTGAAACCTCTGCCTGCATTTTTCCACACGTGTTAGAGAGCACTAAGTCAGTGACAGAGCCTCTCACATTTTCAGGCATCTGAAAGATTCTCCACAGTGTCGCGCCTTGTGTTCTACAGATAACTTCCATGCTTTAGATCACACCTCCACCAGCTTTCAGCTTAAGATAAAAGAGGCTATTCATATTCAAAGAGAACAATCATCCTTGAATCAACAATTACACCATGTAAATCTAAAACTATCTTTTTAATTCTCACACTTTCATGCTTTACCTCTTTTCATGTTGTCACTATTCATCTTAATTAGCATTTATCTACTTACTATATACTTCAACTTCCAACGCTTTGAAAATTTTTTACAGACTCAAACGTTTTGTCGCTTTCTTTAAAATACAGTAATTTTTTAAATTAAAAAAATAATAATTATAACTCAACAACTCAAACATTTTCTGTTAGGTCTAGAAAGTAAGAGGATTGCTAAAAGTAATTTCCTTCAGAAATGGAGTTCACTTAAATTGTTTCCCAAAGATATCATTGTTTTCACTTTTCTTCAAAAAATGGGAGCTTTGATTCTCCAACATTTTCCTTCGTGATACATAAGCACCAAAAAAGGGGGGGTGAGCTGTAGTACCCCTTCAGAAGACAAACACTTTTTGTTGGGGGGGAGGCATTGCCCCTTACATTTCGGTAGTAAAAGTTTTCTCCTCTGAGAGTATATCACACCCCATCCTCTACCACATAAGCCAAACTATGACGTCATCAATGGTTATCTCGTGACGTCACTTGATGTCGAAGGGGAGAAAACGCCAGGATACTTAATGGGAATGTCTAAATAGGTACTATAACTATATCTTCTCTCTTGTACATCCTCCCTTCTCCCAAAAAAAAGCTACCCAATTAACTTCTTGTTAGTTATGTAACCTCTAGATCTTAAACTCATAGCTTGCCGAAATGGCTCTGGATCTCTCTGAGAAGCGAAACAACTTCACACTATATGGCCGGACATTCATAGGTAGGGTGTTTCAGTCTGTTGTAAAAGTTTATTGTGACATCCAGCTGTAACTTAGAATCCATTTAACTTCAAACAAACCTTCATGAGTTAGGACCGTTTTGGTTCCTTTCATGTGTTCGAAGTTTGTCAACGCTCAGCGAAAAAAAAACAAGGGAAAATTTATTTTTTTAGCAGATCCTGGCCCCTGTTTCTGAATGTTTCTGTCCTTTTAGCTTGGCTTTTTTTCGAAACGGGGTTTAATTAAATTAAAGGTTTAATTAAAAATAATTAATGCGTGTTTGATAATAAGAAATGCATGGCTATTATCGATCACATCTGATTACCAATGAGTTTTAAAACAACTATTAGATAACTAATCAGAAATATGATTTTCAAATTTAAAGTTGAAATTTTTAATTTTGCACGCCATGTCTTAGATAAAGAAAGCCTTCCCGCTGTGGACCACGATAACAAAATTATCAAAATTAATCAAAATTATCAATTGCAAATTGTTCAATTTTAACCTAACCTAACCTAACCTACTTTCCTGTAACACGAAATTCCCAGATCACTGAAAACCTTCTAAAATCGTCTTTCTCAAGAGCCATCCTGGACATATAGTCAACTGTTTTACGGTAAATACATTCGCCGTTCGTCATTTCACAGTTTCCTTACAGTATTTTGAATTTTGTCCGGAAGAATCCGAAGAAATTTTTTTTTTAAGGGTCACGCTCGGATCTCTTCGTACTCTGTGAATAGAGTCGGCGAAAAGGAGAACGTTCAAATTTGTTCACTTTCTAGAGGCGCTTGAGGATTCTAAATGAAGATAAAATATTTCCAATAGAAATTGGTATTTTTCAAAGGGAAATATAGAAAAATATCAGACTGTCGGACGTTTAGTCATTCGAAGACCGTGTCCGGTAGTGTCTAGTGAAAATTTTCTTAGTGTCACGCTTGGATCTCTTCGCACTCTGTGTACAAGGTCAGCGAAACAGATAACGTTGGCATTTTTTCACTTTCTAGAAGCGCTTGAGGATTGTAAATGAAAGTAGAATATTTTCCAACGAAAAATTGGTATATTTCTAAGAGAAACATGGAGTTATTTGAGGACCGTGTCCAGCCGTGTCATTGAAAAGTTTTTTAAGTGTCAAGCGCTTGGATGGCTTCGTACTCTGTATACAGGGTTGGCGAGAAACATCAAGTTCGAAATTTTTAGGCTGCCTGGAAGCGCTTGAGGATTGTAAATAAAGGTATAGAAGGTATATAAAGGTATATAAAAGGTATGTAAAGGTATATAAAATAAACGTATAGAACTGTTTTAAACAGAATTATTTTGATAAGCTCTTCAAATTCATTGGAGAAAACACCGAAGGTATTTTGAGACGTGACATGGTTAAAATAACTGACCAATCAGAGGCGCTATTTAAACAAAAGCGGTGGTTCAAAACAAAAACAAACGACCTCGTTGCATCAAGGTTGGAAATGGGCCTTTAAGCTAGTTATATGTATATATATATCGTGTCTTGGATACATGTAAAAATTATTAATGATCCCTTGAAAGAACATGTACGGTATTTTCATGATGAAAGTTCTGAGTCTTTTCTATCATAACACTGTTAGCTTACGCGAAATTGTTCGTCCTAAAATGAATGCTGTTATGTTACTTGTTATGAAAAATGATTGATTTGCCAGTGGCTGAATTTACATTTGTTATTCACATAATGGTTAACATCATTTACAATGATATTAACCATTATTCGTACTAAATAGCCAAAATTTTGATGGTTAGCCGTAAAAGCCATCACCCCATTGAGACCCTTCTTCTACTATACTGAGGCCATAATTCTCAAATGCGACTTGTTTGGCTATGACCGAGTAACCTTAGAAAACAAAGTTTCCCCGAATTTCGAGAAATCAGCTAATGTTGACATCAATTCTAAATTAAACGGGAGGCAAGCTTGGCATTCTTGCAATTATTTGTTATTTTTCGAAGACGAGGAGGAAGATTAGCCATCATTAATTGTTATCATTCAAGTGATGACTCGGTGTAAGTGCCCTCTAATGGCAATTTTCTTGTAATTTTCTGAGAAAAAGAGGAAACGAAAAGGTAAAAGCAGCGGGAAATGCCGTTGCGAGTTTTTTTGGGAAAGTGCCTTCTGGATGCGCGGATCCTACAACGTAATTGTAGTGCAGTCCATTTCCCCCACCTCTCTCCTCTCTACTATTGTTTATTACTGAAAGTCAAGCTACCTCCTCTCCCAGATGTCATTTGCTTGTTGCAATATTTCAGTCACTGTATTCAAAGGTAAGACAAGTGATGTAGTTATTCTCGGGCAAATTCCCGATCCATTCCGTCCGTTTTTGCATGCGTTATAACAGTTACTATTGTTGTCTTCGATCATGCAAATCACACTCGCAAGAAAATGAAAAGGTTCATGAGTACAACGGGCCAGTTTTAACGCACAGAAGACAGACCTCCCCTCCCTGATATCTTTTGCTAGTTGCCATAAATCAGTCACTGTATTTATACCTTCAAAGGTAAGACAAGTGACGTACTTATTCTCGAGCAAATTCTCGATACATTCCGTCTGTTGTTGTATGCATTATAACAGTTACTATTTTTGTCCTCGATCATGCAAATCA